TACCTTCAACACACACCCACAGGCCCCCACTGAGGGTCAGAAAATCGATGAACTAAGCCCTGGTTTACTATCCAGCCCCCCCTACTATATAACATGTAAAGGGTCATCACAGAAATACAGTGACATGATCGAAAACCGGACAATTACGCACACATCAACCGATATATCGTATTTTCAAGGTCTCACAAATATCAAAAGCTTTTGTCCATATCTCTGATGTGTGTAGGAGGCATATACACATGCTTCCCGTGGGGATGCATTTGTTGGTTTTTATCAAATCGCCAAAGACCGAGTTGCTGTGCCGGAAGTATACAAAACTAGGTCGTCAGCGCAATCAAATTGGTTAATAAAATGACAACAATTGCATGTGCGAAAATGAGAGTGAATTTCAAACGTCTTTCATCCAAGATGTCACGGTCTGATATTTTATCTTGGTAAGAATAATTTTAAAAACGAATACAAATATTTTTTATAGAAACTCATAATAATCCATTCATTCAGTGCAATGTGTTAGCCCATCAGATTGCCGTAGGTAGTGAAGTCAAGCGCTGACGACCTATTTTTGTATACTTCCGGCACAGCAACTCGGTCTTTGGCGCTTTAATAAAAACCAACAAATGCATCCCCACGGAAAGCGCATGTATATGCCCCCTACACACATCGGAGATATGGACAAGAGCTTTTGATACTTGTGAGACCTTTAAAATACGATATATTCATTGACGTGTGCGTAATTGTCCGGTTCATGTCACTGTATTTCTGTGATGAACCTTTACATGTTATATAGTAGGGTGGCTGGATAGTAAACCAGGGCTTAGTTTATCGATTTTCTGACCCTCAGTGGGGGCCTGTGCACACACCCTGCATTTATCAAAACAGGTCGCAGGCTCTGCCTAGCTAGGGCTATTTGAATATAGGGTCACGTGAGTTGTCAAGCGCGCTCAGTTCAAACCGGGCTGACAGGTGCTGTCTGTCTGTCTATTCAGGGCAGCACGCTATACATAGCTCTATTCATGACACTTTGCTTTTGTTTTTCACGTCTTATAAAGGGTTTTCTACAAGATTACATGACTGCCTTAAAATACCCACCTTTCATTAACCTTTCCTGACCTGTGACGTCCTGCCTATACATTAGCATATGCATCAGCTATGACCACGTGACTTGGATGAGCCAATGCATTTCCCGTAACCTTCCCTCCATCAAACCTACCTTCTGGCGACCACTGTCAGTACATTCCATTTACGTTCACTTGATTACGACAGCCTTGCCTGCACTTCGACAACCGCGTAACAACAACACTGCTTCTGTTTTGATATAATTAATACGGAATGAGGTGGAGGTCTTTACCGCTGACAAAATCGTGTTGTCCATCATAACAGTAATTAATCCAGTGACAGCACAATGCCAATCAAATGGCCGCGGATTACCATTGTCAGATTGTTCCCCTGGTCATCTTTCATAGAGCACTGCAGCTAATTGAGATAGGCATCCAGTCTAAGTAAACTTGGACTCGCAACACCGCTTATGCAGCAGGGGCGGATACAGCTTTTTGAGAAAGGGGGGGTGCACACTATTGAGAAAAGGGAGGGTGCACACTTCATTTTCACCCGAGTTTCAATGGTCATTTAATAAACTTTCAGGACAAAAGGGGTTGGGGGGGTGCGCACCCCTGCACCCCCCCCCCCCTCTGGATCCGCCTATGTGCAGAGTCAAACTATCTAACTTTCTTTATGTTTTATCTACCTATGTAAATATATCTAATACCTATGTGTGTGTGTACACACATGTATACATAATGTATAATATTATATCAATAGATGTGTATCTGTATCTACATGTATATACACAGGTGTCATATTTTCGCCAGTGTCACAAAGCTTTCGTTTTCCTCTAAAACCATTAAAATACATAAGCCTATATTATATGTTTGGCAGTATTGACGGTGTAAGTAGCGCTAAATCCCTGTCCTGTGGCATTCGTTGTCGGCCTTCTGGGGAAGTCGATCAATATGGTCGCATGTGATAGTTCAGTGACACTCATGCATGTGTGCCCACGTTGTCAACACGATACGTCACGTAGTAGCAGGGAGTACACCGTATTGACGTATCGGTGATTTAACACATGTTACTGACAAGTTGATTCCCACTGTGTTTACGTTTGTTGTGTAAACAATACCACTTGCTGGTGTTTTGTTGCAAAACACTAAGCAGCAGCGGTGAGCTGTCTAGACGTGAACATATGTCAACCAATGCAATAGTCAATGGTGTCTCATCACTTTATGTCCTTGTAGGTTGGTGACCGGTTTTACCAAACAAATATCCTACACTATGGTTTTGTTGTGCCTCCATATTTCGAGACAGAACCAAGTCAACAGTTGTTTAACTGGATTACGACTGTACAATTTACAAAATAGCTGAGGCAATCGGTGGCTTTAACTGCACCAACTTGAAATTACACAGATGATTTCAAAACCTTTATCTCAGTCACATCCTGAATATGATTCGGTATTTTAGTGACAGTTTCCATTTGGAGACTGCCAATCTCCCCATCGACAGAAAACAACCTGAGTTCTTGTATCTCATAAGCTCCAGCGTACAGGAACTTCGTGACATCGGCAGTCATATCCTTACACACACAGGATTCGACTCCTTACACACACAGGATTCGACTCCTTACACACACGACTCCTTAGGATTCGACTCCTTACACACACAGGATTCGACTCCTTACACACACAGGATTCGACACACACAGGATTCGACTCGATTCTCCTTACACACACAGGATTCGACTCCTTACACACACAGGATTCGACTCCTTACACACACAGGATTCGACTTAGTTTTAACTCTCGATTTCCAAACTGGAAACGTTAGTCCTCTATACGCAGAACTATTCATTGTGAAGAAATACTGTTACCTTCACTGTATTAAGGATTACAGCCAGTCTTTGGCTGAGGGATTTGGTGGTACATTCACTGGACAGAGCAATACACCTCTCCTTGTACCCAGTTTTATTGAGCTTTGGACTGTTTGTTTTGCTTTAAACATTTTATTGAGAATAGGTGAATGGGATTGGGCACAAGTTGTCCAACGTATGCCACCTTCTCCCAGATATACAGCTGACTTACAATTAACACTCTACACAAACAGAAGCGTTAAAGACTAGGGAAGAAAGGAGAACAGAGAGGACATAGTTTACCTACATATAGGACCTGTACATATTTGAAAATTGTTCTATTATCATATTCTGGTAAATCCCCATTTCAATACTAACATCAAATTGAGATCAGTTCGTACTAGGCTGTAGAAAGCTCAAAAACATAATCCAACAAAAAATCGTGTCCGTTGACTGGTCGTAAATCAAAGCTACACCCTACTTACATAAACCCACGAAGTTCCGAAACAATTATAATTTCACTATTTAAAACAATATTGTCATTGTTTACTCGTTTTAGTCCTTATGTGACTATCAAACCCATTATTTTGTTTACTTAAAGTCTTTACTTGACTTTTGACAACTGTTAATCAACTGTGCTCTGACTTGGCACTGTCAGAGACAGCCTCTCCGGCAATGGCGGTTCTCTATAAAAGCATAACACACAAGAGATCAATTCAGTGACAAGAGATATCACTGCTGCAGGCCTTGGCCCATTGTGCACGTGAATTACGTGCCGCTGCCTAGCACGTTACACATGTATTCAATGTTTTGATGTGGATCGAACATTCTGTCCAATTTGTGTATTTTACTACGATACTACATACATTTCTATATTATGCATCTCTTTCTACTATTAACAGGTCACATTTCAAGAAAGAATGATGTTTGTAATTTATTCACATTTACTAACACACACCATTCAGCTGTTTCCTATACCTAGCCTACACCAATCACCATTTATCTGTCTCACCTCATTTATCAGTTTAGTATGAATGCATTTTAAAATTTGTTTTCTGTGGCAAAACGAATAGTATTATGGGGCCTTGGGATAGTTTTATACATAAACGTTTTGCAATCGTGTGTTGACCTACATGTTCTTACATTAACAGTTTATCATTACAGAAGAAGGGGAAAACAATCATTTCTTCCCATGAGGAGTTATGATATTTTCCGAAGTGCTTAGTTTGTATCTGGATTTCAGTACTAAACAGGAATGGATATATTTTCAGGTATTGTAGTCAAACTCGTGTAGGAAGCTCACGAGTTTCGTATAATTCGTATGTAATGAGACCGAGTGTGCTATTTTATTTATTACCCACGTGTTGTATGCTTAAAATTGACAAAATAACGCATTTTTGTTATTTTTATGATTTCAAATCGAAACCGGTTTCATAAAGAGGTTGCGGAAGAATTTTGTTGAGGACTCACCTTTGCACGTCTTTTGACATTCCTGAATATGCGCAATTGAACATAGTTCTTATCTGTTTTACTTAATAAGGAAGACAACAGCATTAGGAAAATTAGAATTTTAATAACTGCAAACACAAGCTTCAAAAAAAGCAAATATGTTTCATTATATACTCAGCAGTAAAAAAAACCATCAGTACGAATTCAAAATTAGATAGGCACTGTAATAAAATCATTACAGAAATGGACATAATATTCAGATCAAAAACACTTTTTGTGTACAATATCTTAACACATCAATAAATAACGCTGCACAATTTCAAGACATTACGTGAACGTTTGCAGTCCATTCAGATTCTTGACTTCAGTATCTAGTGTGACCACCACGAGCGGCAATAACTGCAGCACAGCGTGTATGCATGGAGTGCACCAATCGATTGATGAAGGCCATTGGCATGACATTATTCAGTCTCCTCTGAATTTAGTCTCAAAGATGTTCAATTGGGTTTTAATCAGGACTAAGGGCTGGCCACTGCATAATTATTTTGATTTAAACATATTTATTTAAGAGAATGGATTAGGTACAAGTTATGTTAACTTAGTGAAACCCTCCCCTATTTACAGTGCTTACATGGAAAAGTGAAACAAACCATATGTACAGGGACAGAAAGATATATACGAAAGGATATATGCAATACAATGAATACATGAATTATTTTAGATCATAAACTTTATATCCAATTACTGAACCTTTTTGGAGTTTGATATATATTTTTGAACTTCATTAAAAATTTGAATGTTGTCACTGTACGGAAGATCTACACTGCCATTTAATAGTACGTGTTAATGTTGACACCGTTCTGCTGTAGGAAGTCCCGTGTAACTCTGGCAGTATGGGCCCGGGTGTTATCGTGGGGTCTGAGAGCTTGGTCGATGTAGCGCACCTCTGTGATGCCGCCCTTCTCCATGGACCAAGGTTCAGGAACACCACCCCATACCATGATGCTTGCACCTCCCCTTGAGTCTCTTTCCATAACACTTTGGTCTGAGTAACGCTGGCCACGTCGTCGCCATATTCTTGTTCTGTCATCTGCAGTTGATACGCAGTTCCGACTCTAATCTGTGAACAGAACAGTTCTCCGTTGCCTGTATCGCCAGTTTTGGTGTTGTAGGGCAAACTGTAGACGTTCACGCCGATGACGATGGGTGAGGATAGGTCCACGGTAAGGTCTACGTCGCTGTTAAGACGTCGGCGTACTGTATCAGTACTGATTGGTCTTCCGTGTGTTCCCACTGTCTGGCGTGCTGTTTCGGATGCCTGCATGAAGGGATTCTGTACATGCTGTCGCACAACATGGCGGTCTTGTCGTCTTGTGGCCCGGAAACGTTGCTGCAGCCTGTAGATGGTCCGAACGTTGACCTGGAAGTGATTGGCAACGGCTTGTGCAGTGTGGCCAGCTTCAAATCTTCCTAGAGCCTGGAACCTCTCAGCTGTCGTGAGTCGCGGTATCCTGCTGACGTTGTAATGTGAATCTGTCATCCAGGTTTGGGGATGCATTTTATAGGGCTGGTACTTGTGTGAAAAACATGGAGAACACAGTACCATCTCCGAGATCAGGTTGCGTTTTTGAGACCATTTCCTGCGTCCCATACTGAGTTTGGGAAGGAATGTCTTTGCTCAGGTAAAGTTGGAGATGTTGTAAAAAATATACCATCAACACTTTAAATGAGGTTACAGTTATCCGTTTCTGCGAAGGAAAATTCCAAACTGACGTTTCTTTTGCTGCTTAGTATAGAATGATAACGAACTATCAACTCATATCACATTAGCCCGTACGACAAAAGATGTCAAAGACAAAAGATCAAAGACATACCGTCAACCGTCACTTGACGTGTTATCCTAGTGTAGCATATGCGTCGGCACGGTGGAATTCTCACGCTTTTCCTCGACCTTAGTGTTAATATCTAACTTTTATGTATTTGTGTTACATTTTCAAGTAATCACGTTCATGTGAGATGTCTCGTCTAACGTAATTGACGTAGTAAAAGTAGAATGAATGAATTCATTTGATGTTTGTTGCGAATGAGGATGTAGTTCCGTCACTACGTGACCTAATTGAGAGGTCATCTGTAATCCAATAAAGTCGTTAGAATGTTAGGTCAAGTCGTTACGGCACAGACCAACGCGATACGACACTCGTGTGATTAGTATGCAACTACCCATACGTTGACCACGTGTGTAATAATGGGACTTCTCCCAGGAAGCACCGCCTGTTGAACCCACCAAGAACCTTCCTGAGAACACGGAGACTCCCGAACACTGCATTCTGCTGCATTACCCAGAGAGTCAGAAGGGCTGTGCTCCCGGTGGAGAACCCGGGTACTCTGCTGATCTGCATCAAGAAATCCGGAGGTACCAAACCCAGGGCACCGAGAACAATGGGGAGTCTGATGACAAGTGAGACATTTCCAAGGTCATGTCCGCGTATTTAGCATGCTTTTCCTGAATTTTGCCAAAAGGGACAGAGAAGTCAATGATGTAAATACATTCACTGGCTTCATCAAAAAGGACAAAATCAGGCTTGTTAGCAGGAATCATTCAGGCAATATGGGCCTATTACCAAAAGTTAACAGCAAAAAATTCATGACGCCCCAGACATGTTCAGGGTCGTACCATGGATGGACCTCAGAGTTTAAGCCTCAGTCATGGCGGAGACGGTAGTAGAGGCAGCGAGCCATGCCATCATGTCTTTTAAGATATGCTGTTTGTGTCAAGGAAGGACATCAACTGGCAGTTTGTTGGACAATCTCTGTGAATTCATTGCACAATCGACATTTCATGATTACATTTTTTTGAGAGCGGGAAGTTTAGGTTGGATTGCTATTCTGTTCCACACACTGCATATATACGCGATGCAGTGGTTTCTCAGAAACATTCTATGCTAATGGCAGACTGAATGAGTTCATCTGGTTTATTCCCATTGCTGAACCGTCTAGCAGTACATCGCCATCAACAAAGTCAACCTTAAATTTGACATGATCCTTATCGTTATTCTCCTTATTATTATGAGTGCTGGCTGGAACAGAATGGATGTATTCAAAACCTGGATCCTGTTTTCCAGTTTGCAAAGTTTACCAATGACCACATTGATTTGATGGCCACACTGACTTGACTTGATGACCACATTGACTTGACTTGATGACAACATTGACTTGAATTGATGACAACATTAATATATATTGACTTGACTTGATGACCACATTGACTTCCCATATTTCTGCTCTGTTCTTCTCTGTCCATCTTGTAGAATGAATGTAAATAATACTATGTAAATACTACGGAGAGGGTGTTCTAAGTTGTATAACTTGTACCCAATCCTTTTCTCATGAATAAAATATGTTTAAAACAAAACAAAACAAAACTTGATGACCACATTGACTTGAATTGATGACCACATTGACTTGACTAGATGACAACATTGACTTAAATTGATGACAACATTGACTTGAATTGATGACAACATTGACTTAAATTGATGACCACATTGACGTAAATTGATGACCACATTGACTTGAATTGATGACCACATTGACTTGAATTGATGACCACATTGACTTGATGACATCATTGACCTGGCTTGATGATCACATTGACTTGAACTGATGACATTGACTTGAAATGATGACAAAATTGACTTGAATTGACGACAACATTGACTTGACTTGATGACAACATTGACTTAAATTGATGACAACATTGACTTGAATTGATGACCACATTGACTTGAATTGATGACCACATTGACTTGAATTGATGACAGCATTGACTTGATGACATCATTGACCTGGCTTGATGACCACATTGACTTGATGACATCATTGACCTGGCTTGATGACCACATTGACTTGAACTGATGACATTGATTTGAATTGACGACAATATTGACTTGACTTGATGACAACATTGACTTGAATTGATGACATCATTGACTTGAATTGATGACCACATTGACTTGATGACATCATTGACCTGGCTTGATGATCACATTGACTTGAACTGATGACATTGACTTGAAATGATGACAAAATTGACTTGAATTGACGACAACATTGACTTGACTTGATGACAACATTGACTTAAATTGATGACAACATTGACTTGAATTGATGACCACATTGACTTGAATTGATGACCACATTGACTTGAATTGATGACAGCATTGACTTGATGACATCATTGACCTGGCTTGATGACCACATTGACTTGATGACATCATTGACCTGGCTTGATGACCACATTGACTTGAACTGATGACATTGATTTGAATTGACGACAATATTGACTTGACTTGATGACAACATTGACTTGAATTGATGACATCATTGACTTGAATTGATGACCACGTTTACTTGAACTGATGACAACATTGACTTGACTTCATCCACCATACAACCAACAAGTTCCTCTTCATTTTGGCCAATTATTGGCAGTTAGGATAATCATTGATTGTTCCTGATATTTGAAGCATCGTGTGACATTTGGGGGAAATGACTCTTGTTCGAGAGTGTTAGTATTATTCAAGGTGTCAATTCCTTTGTGTGTGGATTGCAAAGTCAACAGCATGCGGTCTTCGTCTGATTTAGTAGAATGCGCTTCTGGTTTTGCGAGACGTTTTAAAGTAATTATAATAATTACTCTCTAGTCAGTAGCGAGGGTTCCTAAATCCCCGCAAACCTTTTCCATGATTAGAAGTGTCTAGATTCGTGTAAATTCATTCGGTGACCGCCGGTTAGAGAATAGTCTAGAAACACTCGCCGCAGTTATGTTTATGATATAAATGAAAACTGAGGAATTCGGTGTATTTTGTAAAACGTACTTCTTTCAAATCATTACGCAATAATCATGAATCAAGGTCTACAGGAACGATTTTATAAATTGCCTTGTATATGAAACGTTTTAAATCATGTCGTCAAATGATTCATGTGACCTTTTCCCACCGGTGTTACGTTATCGATAAACATGATACTTGATGCTAACAGATCGGGTTTGACGTCACTAGGTGGGGAGTGTGAGCGAGCACCTGCCATTAGTCTGGGCACGGGTCAATGGCCCTGATATCAGGGGACTGTCATAGTATCGATATCCTGTGAGGCATACTTACTCAGTAAAAGCGGCTACAACCAATGGTGGCCCAGAGTGAGGCCCCTTTGTGTTGATTGATTGCATGTCGTGCATCATCTTATTAACCGGCCAAACTCGCTGGGATATATATGTAGAACATGTTATGTATATTGGTAGGACGATCACTCCGAGGATACTCGAGACCTTCTGATGCAATGTTATGACGAAACTGCAGTGACCGACCCTTGCAAGGATTTGCTAACACAAAACTGACATATGTTTCTGTTTTGACGATAGCCATCATTATGGTATTCATGGGAGTTGCATATGTTGGCCATGTTGGTCCGTCCCTTCCGCGCCATGTTGGTCTGTCCTACAAGCACCATGTTGGTTCCTCAGTTCAGCGCCATACTGGCCCATGACATCCGCGCCATATTGGTCCATGACATCCGCGCCATATTGGTCCATGACATCCGCTCAATGTTGGTCTATCCCGCCAGCGCCCTGCTGGACCCTCCCTTCGGCGCCCTGCTGGTCCATTACATCCGCGCTATGTTGGTCGATCATACCCGCGCCATGTTGGTCCATGACATCCGCGACATATTGGTCAATGACATCCGCTCAATGTTGGTCTATCCCGCCAGCGCCATGCTGGACCCTCCCTTCGGCGCCCTGCTGGTCCATTACATCCGCGCTATGTTGGTCGATCATACCCGCACCATGTTGGTCCATCACATCCACACTGTATTGGTCCATCACATCCGCGCCAGATTGGTCCGCCCCATCTATGCCATGTTGGTCCGTCCCATCTATGCCATGTTGGTCAGTCCCATCTATGCCATGTTGGTCAGTCCCACTGCACCCACGCCATCTTGGTCTGACCCATCCGCGCCATTTTGGTCCGCCTTCTCCGACGTTGATCCACATATAATACACACGGAAACCATGGCTCAGTCACTCTAACGAGATAATCCTTCGACTGCAAGCTAGTTTGCTGAATCGTCAAAGAGAGGACTGTAAGATACCTGATGCCTTTGTGTCAATTCATTCCCAGTACAGCCTCAGAGCAAACACTTGATTCGGACCAAGGGATTGGCCTCACCAGCTCCTTCCCGGCACGGATTGGTAAAGAACCCATGCAAAACCGGCACTCGATCAACACAAGCGATCAAAATGTCCTCCCCACACAAACCTTTCACAACCTAAATGGATGCAAGAAAAACATAAGAGAGCTTAAAGCATGGATCATTCTAAAACGACGCATTTAAAGATAAGAGGCTATTCGGAGACGTTTCGAGTCCCATCGATGCTGTTTGCAGTGGAGGGATAAAAACGCGCGGCTTGATTGTCCTTTTTCAAATGTTTGCACATCGCCGGAAAATCTGTCACGCTTTGTGGGCTTTGCAGATGACGGGCGATTTCCGAAAAACCTCATTTTGATGACATGACAGGGCAATTTGCAGTTCTATAGATCTGCGCACTTCTCATTTCAGGGATTTCGATCGTGTTTCTTTTACAGAAGTATTCTTCCCATGAGGAGAGAGATAACACCGTGACATGTCTTTCAAAACACTGGCTCGGGCAGATGTTCCATAGCCACGTTGTGAAGACCCCGGGAGGAAGGAACAGACGTATGAACGTCTCGTATAATGCAAGTACACTTACACGTTATACCGATACACGGTGAGTGAGTGAGTGACTGAGTGATTGTCAACTAAATATATTAGTAAGTAAGCGTTTATGTGTGAGAGCATGTGTGTGCGTAACAGTATGCACGTGCATGTGTAACTAAGATGATGGAAGAGAATGTAAAATCAGCAATACTCATCTTCCTTTTCACAATTAGAAACATGCAAGGCAATTTTGCTTAATATTAAGCAAGTAAATATCACATTTTCGCTCACACATAATGATCAATCAATTCCTTTATAGTTGATACACTTCCGAACTGCACATTTCATTACTACACACTTTCCATACGGATTCCTCCGATACACCATTCAACAATCACATTTCACAGGTGAACAAATCAATAACAGATTGCTTCATACACCATTCAACCAATCACATTTCACAGGTGAACAAATCAATAACAGATTACTTCATACACCATTCAACCAATCACATTTCACAGGTGAACAAATCAATAACAGATTGCTTCATACACCATTCAACCAATCACATTTCACAGGTGAACAAATCAATAACAGATTGCTTCATACACCATTCAACCAATCACATTTCACATGTGAACAAATCAATAACAGATTGCTTCGATACACCATTCAACCAATCACATTTCACAGGTGAACAAATCAATAACAGATTGCTTCGATACACCATTCAACCAATTTACATTTCACAGGTGAACAAATCAATAACAGATTGCTTCGATACACCATTCAACCAATCACATTTCACAGGTGAACAAATCAATAACAGATTGCTTCATACACCATTCAACCAATCACATTTCACAGGTGAACAAATCAATAACAGATTGCTTCGATACACCATTCAACCAATCACATTTCACAGGTGAACAAATCAATAACAGATTGCTTCATACACCATTCAACCAATCACATTTCACATGTGAACAAATCAATAACAGATTGCTTCGATACACCATTCAACCAATCACATTTCACAGCTGAACAAATCAATAACAGATTGCTTCGATACACCATTCAACCAATTTACATTTCACAGGTGAACAAATCAATAACAGATTGCTTCGATACACCATTCAACCAATCACATTTCACAGGTGAACAAATCAATAACAGATTGCTTCATACACCATTCAACCAATCACATTTCACAGGTGAACAAATCAATAACAGATTGCTTCGATACACCATTCAACCAATCACATTTCACAGGTGAACAAATCAATAACAGATTGCTTCATACACCATTCAACCAATCACATTTCACAGGTGAACAAATCAATAACAGATTGCTTCGATACACCATTCAACCAATCACATTTCACAGGTGAACAAATCAATAACAGATTGCTTCATACACCATTCAACCAATCACATTTCACAGGTGAACAAATCAATAACAGATTGCTTCTATACACCATTCAACCAATCACATTTCACAGGTGAAAAAATCAATAACAGATTGCTTCATACACCATTCAACCAATCACATTTCACAGGTGAACAAATCAAAAACGGATTGCTTCGATACACCATTCAACCAATCACATTTCACAGCTGAACAAATCAATAACGGATTGCTTCGATACACCATTCAACCAATCACATTTCACAGCTGAACAAATCAATAACGGATTGCTTCGATACACCATTCAACCAATCACATTTCTCAAATCAATAACGTTCCCAGTAATGGAAGGGAAACATGCTGTGTCAGAAGCCTGTTCGAGGAAGACAACAAAAGGTAGCATACTGACGGTCGTGACACTGGTGACGATGTTTGTCTCTACCGACGTCGAATCTTTCATTGGATTCAAACACATCCGTCCGCCAGATCTGTCGCTGGCAGTGCATGGTTGTTCCAAATGCATATAGGTGTGCAGGATACTCCTGGTCAACGTAGGTAAACATATCACCAAATGTGTGTACTAGATTCATTGGTCAGTACATGAAATCATTCTTTTCGCTGGCGCCTGTAACCTTAGTCTTCTTGCACTGAGACGAACAGACTTCCTCTAAGATAAAGAAGCATATACATGTAGACTGACGCACGTGTCGATACCAACACACAGGTAATATAAGATGGGAATGGATTCACCATGCAATAGCATCTGTGGCAACAACGTGTCGATACCAACACACAGGTAATATGAGATGGAGACGGTTTCACCATGTAATGGTATCTGTGGCCACCACGTGTCGATACCAACACACAGGTAATATGAGAAGGAGATGGTTTCACCATGTAATGGTATCTGTGGCCACCACGTGTCGATACCAACACACAGGTAATACGAGAAGGAGATGGTTTCACCATGTAATGGTATCTGTGGCCACCACGTGTCGATACCAACACACAGGTACTATGAGAAGGAGATGGTTTCAGCATGTAATGGTATCTGTGGCCACAACGTGTTGATACCACACCCAGGTAACATGAGAATGGGATGGTTTCACCATGTAATGGTATATGTGGCCACAACGTGTTGATACACACACAGGTAATATGAGAAGGAGATGGTTTCAGCATGTAATGGTATCTGTGGCCACAACTTGTGATACACACACAGGTAACATGACAAGGAGATGGTTTCAGCATGTAATGGTATCTGTGGCCACCACGTGTTGATACACACACACAAGTAACATGAGAATGGGATGGTTTCACCATGTAATGGTATCTGTGGCCACCACGTGTTGATACACACACACAAGTAACATGAGAAGGAGATGGTTTCACCATGTAATGGTATCTGTGGCCACCACGTGTTGATACACACACACAAGTAGCATGAGAAGGAGATGGTTTCACCATGTAATGGTATCTGTGGCCTCCACGTGTTGATACACACACACAAGTAACATGAGAAGGCGATGGTTTCACCATGTAATGGTATCTGTGGCCACCACGTGTTGATACACACACACAAGTAACATGAGAAGGAGATGGTTTCACCATGTAATGGTATCTGTGGCCACCACGTGTTGATACCAACACACAGGTAACATGAGAATGGGATGGTTTCACCATGTAATGGTATCTGTGGCCTCCACGTGTTGATACACACACACAAGTAATATGACAAGGAGATGGTTAAACCATGTAATGGTATCTGTGGCCACCACGTGTCGATACCCACACACGTGTTATATGAGAAGTAGATGGTTTCACCATGTAATGGTATCTGTGGCCACCACGTGTCGATACCCACACACATGTAATATGGGAAGGAGATGGTTTCACCATGTAATGGTATCTGTGGCCATCACGTGTCGATACTCACACAGTGTCGTGTCACGCTTAGAAACAGCGTTCGAAAGACATATAGGTATATAGACCCTACCCTAGTACTATATAAAAGGAAAGAGGATGTAACGACGGAACCACCCCCTCCTCAATCAAAGTTAGATTTCACCACGTAAACTATTTTTAAGGCCCCGTCGAGGCCTACGGGTCGAAAGCGAGATGATTTCCCTACACAATGAGCTATAAAAGGTCACAATAGGATCATTATTTCAAAAGTTATACGCCACGACTCACCGAAAACAGCTACCTCCGCAATTCCAAGCCAAAATCATGGATCACCCAAGACAGCCAAATCTCACCTTTTAAATTCGTTTATTAATTCCAGCCACTTTGACAGCACCTATGTTGGGCTAGATTCGATCTGCAGCGGCATTCCACGGGTCTAAAAACTTATTGCAACATCTACAAATCATTTCCTCGACAGTAAGCAGGCATTTTCTTCAAAACCATCGGCAATCATACTCACTTGTCGGCCATAGACGGCCTTGACATTCAAGTGATCTCGACGGGACCTTAAAAATAGTTTACGTGGTGAAATCTATATTGAGGAGGGGGTGGTTCCGTCGTTACATCCCTTTCCTTTTATAAGCGTCTATATACCTATATGTCTTTCTAACGCTGTTTCTAAGCGTGACACGCCCCTGTGGATACCCACACACAGGTAACATAAGGAGATGGTTTCACCATGTAATGGTATCTGTGGCCACCACGGCAAGGAGAACGTTGCAACATCTTCATCAGTGTCGGCTACATAACGAGCCTAACTAATGCGACGTATTGCTAAACAGTCGGGTAGTCAGTCGTTCAGTTGACGTGTTCGCGTCTTCATGACCAAACCACAGTTGTCAAAGTGCCGCATGCATCCATCATCATGACTGATGGAGTTCATCCATGTGTTATAGCGAGTTATAAGGTTGCGATATCCTGTTCATATCACTTGCATCGTCGAAATTCCCACCTCCAATGCGGGCTGCTTAATGGCGTGTCACTGTCCAGTCCTTCCACTTGTTTGCCCGCCATTAATGTGTTCAGCGTTTCACCAGTTTATTGCGACTTTATACAGCCATGCCTAGCTGCGAGACGGGAGACTAAGTGTGGATATATAAACGACAAATTTAATATCAGCCTTAAAAGCCTTGACTCCTTATGACGACAGTTTTCCCGTAATAAACCGTACCTTTCATTGCCAAAGCACTTTATCGGTTGTTGACCTAGATCTTGGCAGAAGTGAAACCGAGGGTGGTCCAGCAGCTGTCGGCGTTGTGCAGAGTTACCTCCCTTAACCATGGCTGGCTGAATCCTTTTGTGGGCTCGCATCATGATCGAATCCAATGCAATACTGAACCTTGGCACGTCCGCATGTTCGTTGGTTGTGTTGCAGTGTGAGCGTCTTTCGGAAATTTTCGTCGACTTCCCGTTAGCTACGACTTGACAACACTAAGCATGGCATTCACTGGTTCACTTACCATGTCATCTATATGTAGAAATCACCTGATGTAAGGCACAGCTTTGAAACGTCGGTACAAGAGATTAAAGTAGATGTTATCAGTAACAATAGTATCAGATATTTATACAGCTGTTCTCGACCAGTAGAACCAGTAAAGCAACGTCCCTCCCAAACCCTATGGAAGCCTATAAGCCACTGAATTTGTTTCTATTATCTTGAAAATTGAAGATCTGATCAGTGTCTGTGAAAGTGTGCTTGTGGTGAAGTGTCAACACGCTATCTTGAATTTGAACTTAGTATCTTGCCTTTAGTTTCTTGAGATAATATCTTGCAAGATACTAAAACATCTGAGGCCCTAATAGGCTTCCGTACGAAACTGTTTGAAAGTTCAGATGGAAGCTCTTGAGGAAGATGTTTCATTATTCAGCGGACGCTTAAAGTGAACACACTGCCTGTAGACGCCTACTGTTGACGCTCTCTGGGGATGTTTCCAGCGGACGCTTAAGGTGAACACTGCCTGTAGACGCCTGTACTGTGGACGCTCTCTGGGGATGTTTACAGCGGACGCTTAAGGTGAACACTGCCTGTAGACGCTTACTGTGGACGCCTCTCTGGGGATGTTTACAGCGGACGCTTAAGGTGAACACTGCCTGTAGACGCTTACTGTGGACGCTCTCTGGGGTGGATGTTTTACAGCGGACGCTTAAGGTGAACACTGCCTGTAGACGCTTACTGTGGACGCTCTCTGGGGATGTTTCCAGCGGACGCTTAAGGTGAACACTGCCTGTAGACGCTTACTGTGGACGCTCTCTGGGGATGTTTCCAGCGGACGCTTAAGGTGAACACTGCCTGTAGACGCCTACTGTGGACGCTCTCTGGGGATGTTTACAGCGGACGCTTAAGGTGAACACTGCCTGTAGACGCTTACTGTGGACGCCTCTCTGGGGATGTTTACAGCGGACGCTTAAGGTGAACACTGCCTGTAGACGCTTACTGTGGACGCTCTCTGGGGATGTTTCCAGCGGACGCTTAAGGTGAACACTGCCTGTAGACGCTTACTGTGGACGCTCTCTGGGGATGTTTCCAGCGGACGCTTAAGGTGAACACTGCCTGTAGACGCCTACTGTGGACGCTCTCTGGGGATGTTTCCAGCGGACGCTTAAGGTGAACACTGCCTGTAGACGCTTACTGTGGACGCTCTCTGGGGATGTTTCCAGCGGACGCTTAAGGTGAACACTGCCTGTAGACGCTTACTGTGGACGCTCTCTGGGGATGTTTCCAGCGGACGCTTAAGGTGAACACTGCCTGTAGACGCTTACTGTGGACGCTCTCTGGGGATGTTTCCAGCGGACGCTTAAGGTGAACACTGCCTGTAGACGCTTACTGTGGACGCTCTCTGGGGATGTTTCCAGCGGACGCTTAAAGGTGAACACTGCCTGTAGACGCTTACGCCTCTGTGGACGCCTCTCTGGGGATGTTTCCAGCGGACGCTTAAGGTGAACACTGCCTGTAGACGCTTACTGTGGACGCTCTCTGGGGATGTTTCCAGCGGACGCTTTAAGGTGAACACTGCCTGTAGACGCTTACTGTGGACGCTCTCTGGGGATGTTTCCAGCGGACGCTTAAGGTGAACACTGCCTGTAGACGCTTACTGTGGACGCTCTCTGGGGATGTTTCCAGCGGACGCTTAAGGTGAACACTGCCTGTAGACGCTTACTGTGGACGCCTCTCTGGGGATGTTTCCAGCGGACGCTTTAAGGTGAACACTGCCTGTAGACGCTTACTGTGGACGCTCTGGGGATGTTTCCAGCGGACGCTTAAGGTGAACACTGCCTGTAGACGCTTACTGTGGACGCTCTCTGGGGATGTTTACAGCGGACGCTTTAAGGTGAACACTGCCTGTAGACGCTTACTGTGGACGCTCTCTGGGGATGTTTCCAGCGGACGCTTAAGGTGAACACTGCCTGTAGACGCCTTACTGTGGACGCTCTCTGGGGATGTTTCCAGCGGACGCTTAAGGTGAACACTGCCTGTAGACGCTTACTGTGGACGCTCTCTGGGGATGTTTCCAGCGGACGCTTTAAGGTGAACACTGCCTGTAGACGCTTACTGTGGACGCCTCTGGGGATGTTTCCAGCGGACGCTTAAGGTGAACACTGCCTGTAGACGCTTACTGTGGACGCTCTCTGGGGATGTTTCCAGCGGACGCTTAAGGTGAACACTGCCTGTAGACGCTTACTGTGGACGCTCTCTGGGGATGTTTCCAGCGGACGCTTAAGGTGAACACTGCCTGTAGACGCCTTACTGTGGACGCCTCTGGGGATGTTTCCAGCGGACGCTTAAGGTGAACACTGCCTGTAGACGCTTACTGTGGACGCTCTCTGGGGATGTTTCCAGCGGACGCTTAAGGTGAACACTGCCTGTAGACGCTTACTGTTGACGCTCTTCTGGGATGTTTCCAGCGGACGCTTAAGGTGAACACTGCCTGTAGACGCTTACTGTGTTTCCAGACGCTCTCTGGGGATGTTTCCAGCGGACGCTTCCAGGTGAAC